TCCTGCTAAAAGTCCCACACCAGCCTTTGCTGACTGCACGCGTTCCTATTAAAAGTTCCTGTGACTACATGAGACAGCACTGCCAGTTTCCAGGCCGTTAGGACCTGCTGTCTTTGGGGACGTCCTCTGCTGACCACAGCCTCCAGCTCCTTTAGGACACAAGCTCTGTTTTATGCGACTTTGAGTCCCAGTATTTGGACAAAACACTTAATTAATACTTATTTGCTGAAAACATGACTACATGGATGGATGGATGAATGAACGAGATGGTCCCATCCATTGCTGGACCTGAATGAAACCTATTCATGCTACTGGAAGGGCATAAGAGAGCAGCTTCACTGGGAAATCCACGCACCCTACTTCCAACTATTGAATCAAGGTTTGCCAAAGAAAAGAAACTCATTCCGCCTGGTTCGTACAGAGCCCTAATGGCACACATGACGTCTGCTTCAAGCTCAAACCCAGGATCCCAAGAGCTCTGGCCACACGGTGGACTCAGCTCTACTCACCCGGCAATCCACGCAGTTTCTCCGCCTACTAAGAGGTGTCTCCAGGCTGCAGGAAATTGCACAATCAGGTATCAAGGAGCACAGGCGAACTTCTCCAGAATCACGCTCTTGGTTTCCCTCGGAGGAATGGTCACATAAGGGTTACCACGAAACAGAGGAATGGTGAGGCCGGAGTTGTACAAGATTCAAATTGATCTCAGAGCTCATCTGCTCAGCCTGGGGAAAGCGGTATCTGTCATTTTCCAGGGTGCTTGTTCAATCAGCCATACAAAAATTGTCAGCTTTAGGAGACAGGAGACATCCTATCACTCCATCCAGAGCCTGTATTTGGAACTACCTTTATGAGGATGATTAATAGCAGCTGTGGCTGGGTGTGGTGGCTCACGCCTGTCATCCCAGCACTTTGAGAGGCAGAGACGGGTGATCACTTGAGGCCAGGAGTTCGAGACCAGCCTGGCCAACATGGTGAAACTTGGTCTCTACTAAAAATACAAAAAAAAAAAAAAAAAAAAAAAGTTATCTGGGCGTGGGGGTGGGCTCCTGTAATCCCAGCTACTTGGGAGGCTCAGGCGACATAATCACTTGAACCCGGGAGGCGAAGGTTGCAGTGAGCCGAGATCGTGCCACTGCACTCCAGCCTGGGTGAAACAGTGAGAATCCGTCTAAAAACAAGAAAAAAAAAAGAGCAGCTGGCACTTCTTGCAAGGGCTTCAAGCTGCAAAAGGCTCTTGGGTGATGTGCAAATGTACAGAGGTAGAGATATTTCTAGAACTCAAGATTCGGTGCAGAGTCCTGGCTGTTTGGAAACACTTTTCAGACGACGACATGGCGGGATCCTGGTTTCATGGGGAAGTCATTCCCGTTCAGCAACACATCCGTCTGGGCTCCACAGCTTAGCAGAACCTCTGGGTAGTGCAAAGTGTCTGCAATGATCCTGTACAGAAGACGCCAGAGGCGTTGGTGCTGAGGGCTGGAAACGGCAGGTGACATTTGCCTGGCTCAGGGAATCTCAAACTTGGCTGAACAACAACAACAAAACATGACTTGGGGCCGGGTGCAATGGCTCATGCCTGTCATCTCATGCCTGTCATCCCAGCACTTTGGGAAGCCAAGGCAGGTGGATTGCTTTGAGCTCAGGAGTTCAAGACCAGCCTGGGCAACATGGCGAAACTGTGTCTCTATAAAAAAAATACAGATAGTCAGCCGTGGTGGTGCACGCCTCTGGTCCCAGCTACTTGGGAGGCTGAGGCAGGAGAGCTGCTTGAGCCTAGGCGGTCAAGGCTGCAGTGAGCAGAAATTGCACCACTGCACTCCATCCTGGGTAACAGAGTGAGACCCTGTTGAAAGGGTCTCGGCCGGGCGCGGTGGCTCAAGCCTGTAATCCCAGCACTTTGGGAGGCCAAGACCGGCGGATCACGAGGTCAGGAGATCGAGACCATCCTGGCTAACACGGTGAAACCCCGTCTCTACTAAAAAATACAAAAAATTAGCCGGGCGAGGTGGCGGGCACCTGTAGTCCCAGCTACTCGGGAGGCTGAGGTAGGAGAATGGCGTAAACCCGGGAGGCGGAGCTTGCAGTGAGCTGAGATCCGGCCTCTGCACTCCAGCCTGGGTGACAGAGCAAGACTCCGTCTCAAAAAAAAAAAAAGAAAAAAAAAAAAAGAAAGGGTCTCACTGTCGAAAGAGAAAAAAAAGAAGAAAGAAAAAAAGGAAAGAAAGAAAGAGAAACAAAAAAAAAGAAGGAAGGAAAGGAAGGAAGGAAGGAAGGAAGAAAAGGAAGGAAGGAAGGAAGGAAGGAAGGAAGGAGAAAAAAGAAAGAAAGAGAGGGAGGGAGGGATAAAGGCAGGAGAGAAGGAAGGGAGGGAGGGAGAGATAAAGGAAGGAAAGAAGGAAAGGAAGGACAGGAAGAAAGGGAAGAAGGAAGGAAGGAAGGAAGGGAGAGAAAGGGAGAAAGAGAAGAAATGACGAGGAAGGAAAAGAACGAAATAAGGAAGAAGAGAAAGGAAGAAAGCAAAAGAAAAAGAGAAAGAAGAAAGAGGGAAAGAGAAAGAAAGAAGGAGAAAGAAAGAGAAAGAAAAGAAAGCAAAAAACTTGAGGAATTCGAATAAATGCTGATGCCCAGAAGAATTAACTGCAGAAGTTTCTTGGGGATGGGGCCAACCATGAGTCATTTTCAGAGGTTGGTCCAGTGAGCATCAAATGCCCACTAGCTTTCCTGGATATCTGGGGAGACCGTCACAGAGAGTGAGAGGCCTGAGCTCACCGATGGTTTTACACAAGGCTCACTGGGGATTGGGGATGTCCCGTTTCAGAGCTGCTCCCTGTCCTCAAAGAGGGGAAGAGGCATGAACAGAGATGGCTACACCAGTTGCAAGCCCAGTGCAAAAGGAGAAGACGCAATCCTTGTTCCAACCTAATAAACAATTTCCAGGTGGGGGCAGCAAAGAGTTAAACCAGTATGGCGCCCTTCTGTGCGCGGCCACCCCGTGTGAGTTACACAGAGTGCAGACTCATGAAACTTGGCGTGTAGATTACAGAAGCTATCCACCTCCGTGGCTTTCCGGGTCTCTAGAAATGGAAAGAACATCTTCCGCACTCCCATCTGGTTCCTGTGGCCAATAGTAGATTGAATAGTGTCTCCCAGAAAGATATGAGCAAAGCCTAATCCCTGGTATCCGTGAATGGGATCTGATTCACAGAAAGGGTCTTGGCAGGTGTCATTGAGTTAAGGGTCTTGAAATGAGATCATCTGGATTATCCAGGTGGGCCAGAAATCCAGTATCAAGTGTCCTTATTAGAAACAGGTAGAGACACAGATACAGGGAGAAGGCCACGTGGAGATGGAGACAGAGACTGCCACGATGCGGCCACAAGTCCAAGGGATGCCTGGAGCCCCCAGGAGCTGGGAGAGGCAGGAAGGATCCTCTCCTAGAGCTTCTGGAGGGAACTGGACACAATTGTAGTGGACTGAACTGTGGTCTCCCGAAAAGATCTGTCTATACCGTAACACCCAGAGCCTGGGAATGACTGGACACAATTGTAGTGGACTGAACTGTGGTCTCCGAAAGACCTGTCTATACCTAACACCCAGAGCCTGGGAATGAAATCTTATTTGGAAATAAGGATCTTTGAAGATGCAATGAGTTAAAGATCTTGAGATGAAATCATTCTGGAGTAGGGTGGGCCCTAAATCCAATGACAGGTGTCCTTCTAAGAGACAGAAGAAGACACACAGACACAGAGGAGAAGGCCACGTGGAGACAGAGGCAGAGACTGCAGTGATGCGGCTACAAGCCCAGGACGCCCGGGAGCCCCAGAAGCTGGGAAAGGCAGGAAGGATCCTCTCCCAGAGCTCTGATGGAACTGGACACAACTGTAGTGGAGAACTGAACTGTGGTCTCCCAAAAAGATCTGTCTATACCTCGTAACACTCCAGAGCCTGGGAATGAAATCTTATTTGGAAATAAGGATCTTTGAAGATGCAATGAGTTAAAGATCTTGAGATGAAATCATTCTGGAGTAGGGTGGGCCCTAAATCAAATGACAGGTGTCCTTCTAAGAGACAGAAGAAGACACACAGACACAGAGGAGAAGGCCACGTGGAGACAGAGGCAGAGACTGCAGTGATGCGGCCACAAGTCCAGGGATGCCTGGAGCCCCCAGAAGCTGGGAGAGGCAGGGGAAGGATCCTCCCCTCTCTAGAGCCTTTGGATGGAACTGGACACAACTGTAGTGGACTGAACTGTGGTCTCCCAAAAAGATCTGTCTATATCCTAATACCCAGAGCCTGGGAATGAGACTTTATTTGGAAATGAGGATTTTTTTTTTTTTTTTTTGAGATGGAGTTTTGCTCGTTACCCAGGCTGGGTTGCAACGGCATGATCTCGGCTCACCGCAATCTCCAGCTCCTGGATTCAAGCAATTCTCCTGTGTCAGCCTCCTGAGTAGCTGGAATTATAGGCTTGTGACACTGGAGTGATGCAACCACATGCCAAAGGGATGCCTGGAGCCCCCAGCAGCTAAGAGAGGCAGGAATTGATCCTTGCCTAGAGCCTCCGGATGAAGCAGAGCCCTGAGACACCTTGATCTTAATCTTCCGGTCCCAGAGCTGGAAGAGAAGAAATAGTTCCTTTTGTCTTGAGGCCCCCAGCTATGGTCACTTGTTACAGCAGGCCTGGAAAACTGATCAATGGCATCACCTGCAATGAGCTGTCTGAACACACAGCCATCTCATGGGACCATCTACATCATCTTCACACAGAGACCTGAGCCCCACGGGGAGCTTGGCACATGTGATGCCAGGGCCTCTACAGATCCAGATGTGGGGGTTCAGTCAGGCTGGTGGGAAAAATTTTCGTTATCATAGCCACAGACCCTCTGGGAAGGCCTGTGAGTTTGCATAACTTCGGTAATAAACCTGGCTGAGGGCAGCCTAGCCCCCTTACCTTTAGTTTAATAAATTAGAGTAGAAACAAAGGAATGTGGGGAGTTTATCTAACTAAATTGTTTACTCATGTGGTCCTAAGACTAACCTTTGATCTATTGCAGGAGCTTAACTGCTTTCTACTTAGGGAAGTCCGCAATGTCAATTTCCCTCTAGCGGTGTTGACTTACGACCTTTGTCAATTAATCTTTACTGAATAAATGCAAGTCTCGCTCACTGATCCAGGCCACGGCCACTACTAAGTGGCTCGGACGCTCAGCCAAACTGGCAAAGCAGAACAGCTGTGTGTCCGTGTACTTCATTCATCCGTGGCTGGCTCAGGGTCTGCGGGACAGACCCCCGCACCATAAATCTTGTTGCAGTTCTCACCATATAGGCTTCAGGTCTCCCCTGCAACACCATGAGTCCAGCTACGCTAGGGAGGTCGATATCATGCGTGTATCCTGCAAGTTTCATTGTCCTTGTAACCTCTGGCAGGCTGTCCTTCCTGGAGGCTGCTTCCTGGCCTGTTAGTCTGGTTGTATCATTCATGGTTTTCCTATGAAGGGTCTTAAGCTCTAAGTGCACATCCTGCACAGACACTGCGTCTGTCTGCAGAAGGGGCTTGAGCTCATTCTCTCTGCATCGAGAGTCCTGTGTGTTGAGGTCTGAGCTCTGCCCAAAACAGAAACATACCAACTGTTAGGGTCACCCCGACCGGACGTCCCCTTCCCCTCCCACAGGCCTTACAATCCAGTCCCTTGCACTCTCCACACCCCTCCCCCAGGGCTAAAGACAAACGCCCCCCTTCACTGACCCCTCCAGTAACTGTTTGTCCAGACAGTCACAGGACGTGGTTAACACGTCTGTTAACCTCACATAAGGAAGCTGGCAAGAAACATCTCCAGGATGCGGTCAAGACACCTGCAACCCCTACTCAGCTTCCCAACCCCAACCCAGTCCTCCTGCAGCCTTAGCTCAGCTCCCCCACCCCGACCTGGTTCCGGCCCTATAAAACCCTGCTGTAGTCTGTAAGGGCGGCTGCCTCCTCTAACCGTGGTGGACCAAGCAAGCAGCTCAGTAAAGCTTGCTTGCCTGATTTGTAGGTCTCCTCATCCTTTCTCTCGGCTGACCTTACACCGATGATGTAGTGAGCATCTAACGTGAACATCCCAGGGAACAAATCTACATTTCTTATCCTTTTGTACCAAGGACGGTCCCTTGTCTAGTGGGTCCATGACATAGAATTCCTGGTTTTCTGTAAAGGAACAACAGAAATCCAGGCATCCTGGTTATCTACCAAGGAAAATGGTAGATAAAAATTTGTCACCATCTGTGGTGACAAACCCATTCCCAGAGGATGACTGATTTTTTTTAAAGAGGCCAAACAATACATTTGTTATTTTCATTTAAGTTGCTTATCAGGGCAACCTTACCCATCTGGGAACGATCTAGCAGTCAGGTAAGAAGCACATGCTCCCGCAATTAGTTTGAACTCCATCCTGGAATTGCAGCTGGTTGTGATTCAAAGGTACCGGCGTGCCAGGAGCTGATGTTGGGTTTGAATAGTCAGTGGGATTTTGTCACTTAGGGGAATGGATAATAAGCCAACCAGTGGTCATCAGTCTCACACATAATGAGTGCAGGCTCCTAGGGTCTACACAGTACTTTCTCAAAAGCATTGCAAATGACTCCTTTCTCCATGTTGAAATTGGAGAACCCAACACCTATCTCTCTAACACCAGACGAAGGATTGAGCCTTCCTTGCCTGTCTGGTGAGTAAGAGTGAGCCTGCATACCAAGATCCGTGAATGGGATCTGATTCACAGAAAGGGTCTTGGCAGGTGTCATTGAGGAAAGGGTCTTGAAATGAGATCATCTGGATTATCCAGGTGGTGTATCCTCTAGTAACTACCAATTTGTTGGAGCCTTAAAACAAGAAGGATTTATTCTCTCTCTGTTCTGGGGACGAGAAGTCTAAAGTCAAGATGTCACAAGGGCCGAGACTGCTCTGAGGGGCGTAGGGGAGAATACTTCCTGCCTCTCCCAGCTCCTGGTGGCTCCAGGCATTGCTTGGCTTGTGGCCGCATCACTCCAGTCTCTGCCTGCATCGTCACATGAACATCTCGTCTTCTGTACTCAAATCTCCCTCCACCTGTCTCTGATAAGAACCCTCGTGATGGCATTCGGTTCACTGGGATGATCCATAATGACCCATCTCAAAACTCTTAATTCTATCTGCAAAGATTCTTTTCCAAATAAAGTAATATGTATAGGTTCTGAGGGTTAGAGCGTGAACATATCTTTTGAGGGCTACCATTTGATCCATAGCTGTTCAGTGGTTTACATTCTCGGATTTGACAGCGGCATCCTTCACTCGTGACTGTGCTGCTCTGGAATGAGGTTGACCAGATGCTGCTGCTGGCCACGTGAAACTGATCCTACAGGCCGTGGCAAGCAAAGGCTCACACCTCCCCATGTCTGACATCTGTGAATCACAGCTGGGTCTCTGGAAAAATCAGTGAGTGCAGGAACAAAATCAAACAGGAGACCTCATCCACCACTACGTCTCAGAGAAGATATTGCGGCCCCTGAAAAGAGGTCGTCTCTCTTGGAACTTTTGTACTCAGTTGTACCTAACGCGGCAAGGGAAACGGCACATTTGTGTTGGAAAACGTAATTATTTATGGCACCTGTGATAATTGGGCACTTTGGAATCACAAGGTTTATGGTTGAGGACCACCTGGGGTGATCATCCCCCAAAATGTTTCTTTGGCTTCTTGAAGTTCTGCAGAGGTTGAGGCAGCTGCCTGAAAACTAGAGGACAGAGCCCTGTGGGCAGGTGGGTGTGAGAAACTCAAACACTGCAGTCTTCACAGACCCACAAGCCATGGACAGCTGCAATGTGTTTCTAGGGACAGCAACTATCCTGAGACAGGACATCACAGGGTCACATCAAGTACCCCAGTCATGTCACAACTCTTAGACCAGAGCTGCTGCTGCAGTTTCTGGTTGTAGGTGACGTGGAGGGACTTGGTCTCTTTCTCGTTGTACAGGTAACGGCCACCAACGCCTTCCAGCTCTGGGGTGACTGCTGCGTAGATGGAAGTCCACGCTCCCTCATCAGGGGTCTGGTGGAAGAAGAAAAGAAGGCTACAATGAGACAAATTTCTGAGCAGGAAGCAGGATTCTCTGGACCCACGTGGATGCTGCAGGGAAAGGTGGAATATATTCATCAGCTGCACTGAGAAATGTACGCGGAAAGCGAGGTTGGGTCATCAGTCGGAACCACAGCTTCTCTGCCGCTGGGTTTCTTTCTAACAGGCACTGACAATAACGCACCCAAGTGGGTTGCATTTCAATGGTAGGTTAATCCATCTCACTAGGCAGATGCATATTAAAATCCCTGATGTACGTATTTAATTCATGCACTCTTTATGGGACCGAAATGCTTATTCATTGACTAGAAGCAGATGAGTGAGTGCTTGGCCTCTGTATTTAACAAACAATATTAAGCAATTAGATGAAACATCAGAACATCAAAAAGATTGTTGGTTTCAATTCAGCAAGGCATGCTACATCGGAGAATTGGGGCATTTATGCGCTGTGATCATATGCTTCATGGAAACAAGACAGTTCAAAAAGGAACGTGAGATGCAGAAAAAGGTTTTTCAAAGACTGGGGATTTTACCCTAGTGGAAGGTGATAATCTTGAAACACAGCACACCCTGGTTTTCTACAGTGGGAGTTGGCCTTTGGTCATGGTCAGTGGGATGGAAGAAACGGAGGATTCTCAGAGGAATTAGAAGTTGTGGGACCTGAGAACCTTCAGAGCTAGGATGCAATAATCCAGGAACCAACACAGTCCTTCTTAACATCTTACTGTCACAATGAAGATGCTTCAGGAGGTCATCTCTCGTAAGAAGCTTCTGGGAATCTGGTGAACGTATCCACCATGTGGGGGCACGGTCTACGAACCAGGAAGCAGGTCCCTGCCAGACACAGAATCTGCCATGCATTGATCTTGAACTTCCAGCCTCCAGAACTGTGAGCAACAAATGTCTGTTGTTTACAGGCTGCCTAGGCTATGGTGTTTTGTGACAGCAACACAAACAGACTGAGACATTTGATGTCCAGAGTTTTTACTGGGGTTTCATTGCATAGGTATGTTTGATTCAGTCACAGGTCACATGATCAAATTCAACCGCCAGTCCGTCTTTCTTCCCCAGAGGTCAGGCTGGCCCCAAATTCCAACCCCCTGATGACATGGTTGGTGTTTCTGGTGGCTAGCCCCATCTTGAAGCCATTTAGGAAGCACCAACAGTCACCTCATTGTACAACCAGGGCGTTGCTAGCATTTGTGAAATTGCGAGAGTTTGAGAAGTTCCTCCTTGTTACAGAACCAGGAATAGAGACCAGATACTGCCTTTGTCATGTCCCCTCTAGTTTTCTGGGAGTGATGATCCAATCGCCCGAACTGATCTCACCTCTCACCAGTGCCCCTAGCACTGCGGTGGCTCATGCCTGTAATCCCAGCGCTTTGGGAGACCAACGAAGGAGGACTGCCTGAGTCCAGGAGTTTGAGACGAGCGTGGGCCACATGGCAAAACCTAGCACTGGTGAGAGTTCAGGCACATGCCCTCCCCAAAAGGAAAAGGACAGACTCTGTGGGGTGGCCTGTGACACCCAGTCACTTGAGAAATTCTCCTGCTCCCAGTTCACTGCCTCCCAGTCTTGACTTCAGCAGCCAGTGTGATGGGGAAGGGCATGGTAGAGAATCCAGTGTGCCCACCAGCCCATCCTCTGGGTGCCGAGCAAGGCGAAGAGGAAGGCCGGACCCCAGTGCGGGGACAGAGCTGCCAGACTCCTGATGTTGTTTCCCACTGACTTGTCTCTGCTCTTCTGCTGCCTAAAAAGAAATGGATGGAGCTAGAGAACTTCCCAAGTCTGGAAATCACCGAGGGGTGTCCGGAGGTTTTGCAAACCCAAAGTGTCCTGGGAGATTTGGAGGCTGATATGGTCTGGCTGCGTCCCCACCCCGATTTCATGTTAAACTGTGGTTCCCATAATTCCCGCGTATCATGGGAGGGAGTCACTGGGAGGTACTTCTCGTGCTGTTCTCATGATAGTGAATAAGTCTCACGAGATCTGATGGTTTCATAAAAGGCAGTTCCCCTGCACACACTCTGTTGCCTGCCGCCATGTAAGACATGCCTTTGCTCCTGCTTCACCTTCCGCCATGATTATGAGGACTCCCCAGCCATGTGGAACTGTGACTCACCCACATCTGTACATGCCAGGCAGTGCTAAGAACCAGGCAGGGAGGGAGGGGACGGACCTGTCTGCACAGAGTCCTGCATGCACCTGCTGGGAACAACTCAGTGTCATCAGCTATGGCCTGGGTCAAAGCACCTTTGTTTTGGGTATTCAAAGATCAGTGAAGGGTTGAGTGAAAGGGACAGAGAAAGAAAAAAAATATCAATGGAAGGAAGAAAGAGAAGGAGAAAGAAAGAAAAAGAGGAAGAAGTAAGGAAGACATGAGAAAGGAATGAAGGAAGGAAACAAGGAAGCAAAAAAAGGAGGAGGAAAGAAGGAGGGACACAGAGAGAGAGGGAGGCAGAGCAGTAGAAAGGAAGAAGCAGAGAACAAGAAAAGAAAAAAAAGAGGGGAAGGAAGGAGGAAGGAGGAAAGGAGGAAAAAGGAAGGAAGAAGGAGGAAGGAAGGAAGGAGGAAGGAAAGAGGAAGGAGGAAGGAAGGAAAAGGAGGAAAGGAGGGAAAGGAAAAAGGGAAAGGAGGGAAAAAGGAGGAAAAGGAGGAAGGAGGGAGAGGGAGGGAGGGAGGGAAAGAGGAGGGAGGAGGAAAAAGGAGGAAAGGAGGAGGGGAGGAGGAGGAGGAAGAGAGAGCGAAGGAAAGGAAAAGAGGGAGGGAAGGAGGGAAAGGAGGAAGGAAGGAAAGGAAGAAGGAGGGAAGGAGGAAGGAGAGGAAGGAAAGGAGAAGGAAGAGGAGAGGAAGGAAAGGAGGAGGAAGGAAAGGAGGAAGGAAGGAAGGAGGAAGGAGGAAGGAGAGGGAGGAAAAGGAGGAAAAGGAAGGAGGGGAGGGAAAAGGAGGAAGGAAGGAGAAGAGAGGAAAAGAGGAAAAGAGAGGAGGAAAGGAGGAGGAAAGGAGGAAGAGAAAGAAGAAGGAAGAAGGAGGGAAGGAGGGAAGGAAGAAGGAAGGAAAGGAGGGAAAGGAAGAAGGAAGGAAGCAAAGAGAGGAAAGGAAAAGGAAGGGAGGAGGAGGAGTAGGAAGGAAGGAGGAGGAGGAGGAGTGAGGGAGGAGGAGGAGGGAGGAGTGAGGAAGGAAAGGGGAGGAGGAAGGAAGGAAGAAGGAGGGGAAGGAGGGAAAGGAGGAAGGAAGAAAGGAGGAAAGAGGAGGAAGGAAGGAAGGAGGAAGGAGGGAAAGGAAGGGAAGGAGGGGAAGGAGGAAGGAGGAAGGAAGGAAGGGAGGAAGGAAGGAGGAAGAAGGAAAGGAGGAAAAGGAAGGGAAAGGAGGAAGGAAAGGAGGAAGGAGGGAAAAAAGGAAAAGGAGGGAGGAAGGAAGGAGGAAGAGGAGGGAAGGAGGGAGAAGGAGGAAAGGAGGAAAGGAGGAAGGAGGAAGGAGGAAGGAAGGAAAAAGGAGGAAAGGAGGAAAGGAAAAAGGAAGAAGGAAAGGAAAGGAGGGAAGGAGGAAGGAAAGGAAGGAGGGAAGGAGGAAAAGGAGAAGGAAGGAAGGAGGAAGGAGGAAGGAGGGAGGAGGGAAGAGAGGGAAGGAGGGGAAAGGAGGAGGGAGGAAGGAGGGAGGGAGGGGAAGAAGGAAAAAGGAGGGGAAAGGAGGAAAGGAGGAAAGGAGGGAGGAGGAAGGAAAGGAAGAGGAAGGAGGGAAGAGGAGGGAAGAGGGAAAAAGAGGAGGAGGGGAGGAAGGAAAGGAAAGGAGGGAGGAGAGAGGAAGGAGGAGGAAAAGGAAAGGAAAGGAGGGAAAGGAGGGGAGGAAGAGAAGGAGGAAAAGAGGAGGAGGAGGAGGAAGGAGGAAAAGGAAAAAGGAAGGAAAAGGAGGGAAGGAGGAAAGGAGGAAGGAAGGACTAGAGGAAGGAAAGGAGGAAGGAGGAAAAAGGAGGAAAAGGAGGAGGAAGGAAAAAGGAAGGAAGAGAGGAGGGAGGGAGGAAGGAAGGAGGAAAAGGAAGGAGGGAGGAGGAAGGGAGGAAAGGAGGAAAAGAAAAGGAAAGGAAAAAGGAGGAAGAAGGAAAAAAGGAAAGGAGGAAGGAAAGAGGAGGAAGGAAGGAGGAAAGGAGGAAGAAGGAGGAAGGAAAGGAGGAAGGAGGAGGGAAAGAAGAAGGAGGAAAGGAAGGAGGAAGGAAGGAAAGGAGGAGGAAAAGGAGGAAAAGGAGGGAGGGAAGGAAGGAGGAAGGAGGAAAGAAGAGGAGGAAGAAGGAGGAAGGAAGGAAAGGAAGGAAGGAAAGGAAGGAACAAGGAAGAAGGAAGAAAGGAAGAGGAAGGAGGAGGGAGGAAGGAAGGGAGGGAGGAGGAGTGAAAGGAAGGAGGGAGGGAGGGAGTAGAGGGAGGAGGAGGAAGGAGTGAGGGAGGGAGGGAGGGAAGAAAGAGAGGAAAGAGGAAGAGAGGAAAGGAGGAAGGAAGGAAAAGGAGAAAGGAAAAGGAGGAGAGAGGAGGAAAAAGGAGAAGGAAAGGAGAGGAGGAGGGAGGAAAGGAGGGAGGGAGGAAGGGGAAAAGGAGGAAGGAGGGAGGAGGGAGGAAAAGAGGAGGGGAACAGAGGAAAAAAGGAGGAGGAGGAGAGGAAAAGAGGAGGAAAGGAAGGAAGGAAGGAAGGGAAGGAAGGAAGGGAGGAGGGAAGGAGGAAGGAAAGGAAGAGGAAAAGGAAGGAGGAAGGAAGGAGGAAGGAAGGAGGGAAGGAGGGGAAAAAGGAGGAAGGAGGGAGGAAAGGAGGGAAGGAGGAAGGAAGGAAGGAAGGAAAGGAAAAGGAAAAGAAGGAAGGAAGGGGAGGAGAGAGAGGAGTGAGGAGGGGAGAGGGAGGAAGGAGGAAGGAAGGAAGAAGGAAAAAGGGAAGCAAAAGGAAGGACTGGAGGAAAAAAAGATAGAGGAAGGAAGGGAGGAGAATTTAT